GCTTCTACAAGGCCTGTGTGTCTCGCAATCCGGTCATCAATTTGGCCTCCATGATTGGCAGCACGGATATTCCAGACTGGTAGGTCTCATTGTTAAAGTCCATGCACTCTTGCGCATATTTGATAATTCCTGTGGGGAAAGTGCTACAAGACAATAGCACTTTGGAACTGGTTCACTGGATTGTAAATCAAATGTTGGTTTTTGTAGGTGTATGGTAGAGGCTGGATACGATTACAGTCCTGATTGTCTCCCTGACCCTGCTGTTTGGGAACAGATGTTAAACAAGTCTCCTATCAAATACGTCTCTCAGGTATATCTATATAAATCTCAGCTGTATACTTGTTCTTTACTATTACTTTGGTAGTGATGTAATGCCAGTTAATGTCTTGTTAAAGGAAAAGTTCACTCATATTCAGAATTCAAAATTCTGAAAGTACTTTAAATATGAAATTATTACATAATGTTTAATAATGATAAGTGTTGTTAATCAAGAGTAATTTCATTTGAATGTGCTTTACCGGAGACATCCATGTTTGCCAAAGAACACTACTGCCACCTACCGGTTTGTGACGTCACGGTGCAGTATCGGCTATTGATCAAGTCCCATTGCTGTATTTTGTGTCTGTCACAACGGGCTAGTAATCAAGGCATCTTGAAAACATTCTCCCTCGAAATGTTGGCGAGATATTACGTGTTTTTTTCTCTGGCCAGAAGTTCGATGGGAATTCCTCCCTCTTCAAGTTGGCAATCCAATGACGCACATGTGTTGGATCATGAATCAGAAAAGTGAAATTTTTTTTTTTCACTTTTACCCGATTTATTACAACATCCAACTGCCATGCACGTGGGTATAGCTCTCGCAAATTTCAGTGGTGAAGTCCTCTTGAAATCTTAAATAACTGTTTTTGGTTGCAGCGTGTCTGGTAGCTCCCATTGATTTTGCTTGTAAAGCGGAGAGAATGGCGCTAGTCTTACCGCACCGTGATGTCACTGCCGGAAGATGTCAGGAGTGATGTGTTACTATATTTGGGCAAAAATGGCCGGTTCTGGACTCGAAAATAATTTTTTCTTATTTTTTTACTGATTAGTGCTAAATTCATTAAATCACTACAAACGTATTAGTTTTAGGTATAGATGATGTTCCATTGATCATTCCTTGTTGACCTGATTTTTCCTTTAAGGTTCGGACCCCAGTTTTACTTACTTTAGGGGAAGATGACAAGCGTGTTCCTAACAAGCAAGGAATTGAATACTACAAAGCACTAAAAGCCAAAAAAATCCCAGTCCGGTAAGAAAACACCAGATTCTTCTTCTGTTTTTTGTATTTCTTGTTCTTTGTTTGTTGATGCTCCAACATGTGCTTGCTCAGATTGCTGTGGTATCCTGGAAACAACCATTCTCTCTCCAAGGTGGATGCAGAATCAGATGGTTTCATGAACATCGCTTTGTGGATAATTCAGCACCTGAGTCTGTGATTGTAAATCACCGAAGATACTTATAATGTGCAGCACATGTCTTCATGTGTCTGGGGTGGGCGATTATTTTTCTGATTCATGGTGCAATTCAAAACTAAACTACTGATAATTGATCTCCAATTTTAATACTTTATTTCACCAAACGTTACCCATAATATGTATGTTTTGTGTTGCATAAATAGATAAAAAGAAACAACACATTTGATTCAACGGAAACATTTGATTGATACTTAGTTCCTCACTGGAATCAGAAAACACAAAAAGGGCTGTTTAATCCTTTGAACTTTTTTTGACTCTAATATAAGAATAAATGCATAATCAGTCTTTTTTCAGAAATTTTTTTGGGTAATTTAATGTTTTGAGTTAAACCTGCTTCTTTGATTGTATCATTCTGTGCACTTAATAAAATAATAATAAAAAGCTTTGCTGTGACAGACAAGTCCTTGAATGCAAACCTGCTTTAGATAAGCATTGGCAAATCCTCAGAGAAAATAAATGACATTACTTTCCTCCATAGTACACATTCACTTGTTATATGTGCATGTAAGTAATGTAATTGTAAATTCATGACCGAAAGAAGAAGACCGCAGATATAAGCGGATAAAATTAGTTTTTTTTCGTCTTGTGCCTGGGCTCTCCCTTAGAGATATGGTGAGGAGCTCAGTCATCTAGGTAGGAGTCAGAGTAGAACTTCTGCTCCTTCACTTCAAGAGGAGCCAGTTGAGGTGGCTCGGAAAACTTGTTAGGATGCCTCCAGGACTCCCTGGTGAGGTGTTCTGGGCACCTAAAGCGAGTTCCTCAATGCAAGTTTCTCTGCTGGCCTGGGAACAACTTGGGATTCCCGCGGAGGAGCTGGCCCAAGTGGCTGGGGAGAGGAACGTCTGGGCCTGCCTATTGAAGCTGCTACCCCTGTGAATGGACCTCGGATAAGTGGATGAGGATGGATGGATGTAAATTTATTTAGCTATTTTTTTTAATTTTGTAGATATTTTCTGGAGACTCATTTCTAAAGAACGTTTACCCAAGTTTCTAACAATAATCAGGATTCATGGAACTTCTTCAGCAAAACCCAAGAGTATTATTAAGTATTATGCAAAATCTGTCTGATTATGGTGCCTTTGGTAGGCAGCGAGGTTTGCCTTTCTTATTTTATTTTTTTATTTTTTCGAAAACAATGGTTCATGATAGTTTCCCACTTCAGTGTTAATACTAAAACATTTGTGGTCAGAGGGCTACGTACAGCTGTCCTAATTCTGACCTATTTACATTATAGTTTCAAGCTTTTATGAATATTTCTTTTTGTCCTGGAGTGGAATAATTATACAACTAACCACTCTCTTAACATATAAAAAGACAGAATTGGTCATACTTTTTTCTGTCAGGTCTCCCTGAGAAAAGAGATAGTTGCACTTCCTGGTTACTTTTAGGGGTAAAAGTAAAAAACAACAAAAAAACAAGCAAATTGACGTTTTTTTGTCAAAGTTTACACCTTGATCCCTACGTTTAGTAGTCGTCAGCATTAGGATTTTTGTTGACAAATCCAGTTTTTAAACATGTTAATATGTCCTTCAGGTCATTATAATGAGGACATCCTTAATGTGAGCCTGTTTCATCTAACAGATTTTTAATCTATGTATGGTCGTTGTTCTGCTTTAACAGTTAAATATTTCCAATTTTCAACAACTAACTGGATTTTAGATGAAGTATAATCCTTAGGAGATTAACCATTTTGTTTTTTCATCCTTTTTGTGAAATTTATCTGTACAGCAGCCACCAAAACACTGTGATGTTTCCATCATGATTGATATTTGCTTCAATGTTTTTTTAGAGTTTGAAAGCTTTACCTTGTCTCCTCCAAATATCTTGCCAAATAACTGGGTCTCTGTCTACTTTTCATATGCCATTTAGCCTGTTCACGCAATTGCAAAATTTCCTTCTAAAGGTGAAAGTCATTGGCAAAGTAGAATTCACATGCTGTGGAAAATCACAATGGTGATCTTACTGTTTTTAGTGAATAGAAATTTTAGGGTTTATGATTCTTGGTTGTTTTTGGACATCTTAAATCTGATAGTCACAGTCTATGTTTTACTCACGGCTCTAGCAAAACATGTAAATCTCAGAGCTTTCAATCAAATCATTATGCAAGTGAAGACAGACTAAGTACCAATGCAAGTAGTATTAACATTTTGGAGAGACCAGAGTCTGCATTTGAATCTGAAACTTTGGACAGTGCCTAAGATTAGGATGATAGCACAAAGACCTTCCAAACTCTGACTTGCAATAATCACCAAAGATCAGTTACCAATTGGTGACATGCAAAAATCTTATCAGCTTCAATGAGAAGGATTTTTTTACTGTGATGTCAATTGTTTCCATGATCAGTGAGGTGGTTATAAATCATGCTATATTTTAAGTGAACTGTAATCAAATACATTCAAAATATGGCAATTTGAAAATAATGAATTCAGTTGTATTTAAATCATCGGTTTTTATGGTTGTCCTTGAAAACTTTGTATTTCTAGTCTGAAACAAGCCCGTTGGTTGAATGAAAATAATAAAAAAATGTAATCCAGCTATGAGTGTGAATTATTTTGGTCATAATTTTATTTATTTACGATCTTGTATGAAAAAAAATTCCAACCCTATATAAAGAAGACCAAATTCAGCCTCAATTTAAGATATAAAAAAATACTCTTATATGCTGTATGCTATCATTTACACTTGGAAGACTTTAAATCACTGAATGCCCCAATTCAATGTAACATGCATACCCATGTTACGTTGAAACATTGGTTACATCTTTGTTTGTCTACATCTAATGTGTAAACTTACTGCCAACAAGATTTCTGTTATCTGTGTTTGACACAAGTACAGCTTCTAGCAAGGCTGCCATATACCTGAGCAGCCACAAGAGGCCTTGTAGCCGCCAAACTTCCCACACTGTGCGTCCGTGTGTTAAGACTGTGAGAGACCTTTTATAAGCAGTTGAGGAAGTGGTATATTTTCCCAGCTGTTACGTGTGCCTTATCTTCTTTTTAACATGTCACCGTGGACAACATGTTACCACATAGAAGAAGCTACTACAAAAGTGCGGTGCTTATTTACATAAAGAAACAGAAGTTTGCATACACCACTTTAAAAAGACATTACCTTTTCTATTTTTGCCTGACATGAAAATACATGAAAACTGTCCTGATTTAGGTCAGTTACAAAAGCATAGTCATTTGCAAATGACCAGAATAGAGAAAAGTATGCCATCAGTCTTTTTTTGCTTAGCCTTTAAAACTATCCTCCAACAATCTTCTCTTAGACAAAGTCAGCATCTGAAAGTAAAAAAAATACATATATGGTACTGCATAAAACTTCTTTAACAAGGACTGTTTTAAATTTTGTAATGCTTGAGTTAAATCTATTGTTGATATCCCACCATTTGTTTTATGTCACATGTTTTGCATCAGACTGAGGCCTATTAGACTGAACAGTTTCACTTCTGCATACCTGTTTTCACTTTACTGCAAAGCCTTTCGGACCATTCACAACCTCTGTTCTCTTCAAGTGGAATAACTAATAACTATCTAATGTCTCTGAAGCTGTTCAGTTAAGATCTACTCAATCTAATATGGTAAGTGACCTTCACTTTCCACCCATAGAAATGTTTTGTTTCCCTTTTCTAAGTCACAGAACTGCCTAAATTTTAGGAAAGGAAAATGTGTATTTGCAGTGACTTTAAGCCTTACATGCAATGTTTATTGAATGTAATTATAGATTTTATTAAGTTAATCTGCATGTCTCCACATTATTTTATGAGCTGTAGATGACTGAAATTCATTACACTTTTTCAGGCCCTGGAGAAAGTTCTACTCATCATGAGTCAGTTTCTGATGTATGGAAGCACCATTAATATCCATTTTTTTCCATGTGATGCTGATGTGAATTCCACCACAGTGGACTGTTCTAGCCGACCCATAGAACACATCCCGTTCATGAAGGCTACTTCTGTGGTGTCAATCAATTTGAGTTACACTAAGTTACAAGTAGTGAGAAACCATGCTTTTGCAGGTGTCCCAAACCTTAAAATTTTAAAAATAACAGGCAACTGTCAACCTGGTCAACTGCGACTTCCTGAGCAGCAAGGATGCAAAATGGAAATTGAGCCCTTTGCCTTCAAGAACCTTAGAAATCTGACATCTCTACATCTATCGGGAAACAGCCTAACATCTATACCACAATTACCAGAAAGCTTGCTTTTTCTTGACTTACAGGAGAATTGCATCTTTAATATATTTACCCCTATCAGTGCTCCAAATCTTGAAATTCTGCTGCTTTCCAAAAACTGCTATTACGCTAACCCCTGCAACCAGTCTTATTACATAAATGTAACTGTTTTTAAAGAGCTTCCTAAACTAAAAAAACTTACATTAGGGTACAATAATGTAACTGCTGTCCCTAAGGAGCTCCCGCCGTCGCTAAAGGCTCTGGATTTAAGAGAAAATACAATCACTGAGGTCCCAGATGGAGCATTTGCCAACCTGACCGCCCTCGAGAATCTGACTTTGGAGTGGAACTGTCAGCGCTGTGACCATGCGGCGAGACCCTGCTTTCCTTGTCCACAAAATCGCCCTCTCCAACTGCATCCAAACTCACTATATTCAAAAAACAGCTCCATCACCTTTCTGAGCCTAAGGGGGAATTCTCTAAAGACTTTTCCTGATGGCCTTTTTAGGCCACTAAAGAACCTAAAGGGACTGGACATCTCTGACAATCTCTTGGCATTTTCTATACAAAATGGCACCTTTTTTAGAGAGCTGACAGGCCTCACTTGGATAAGCCTCATCTACAACTATCAACCACAGATGACTTTTGGAAAACTGAATCTCTCTCCTTATATTGGACATATATCTGGTCTGCAACATCTTTTGCTAAGTGGAAACTTTTTCCATACTATTTCTAATGAAGGTTTTGACGTTCTGTCTCAACTCAAAAATCTAAAAACACTAGAACTGAGAATGAACTTTATCAGTTCGTGCAATCTGACTACCCTGAAGCAGCTACCGTCTCTAACCACTATTGATCTCTCCCAAAACATGCTAAATTTTCTTCCATGCTGTTCTGTATCATCTAGATCTGTGGCACCTGACAGCTGTCAGAACCAGAACTTGTATCAGAGTCATTTCCAAGACACTCCTCGATTTATACCAGTTAGAGAAGAAACAAGTAGGGGAAACATCTGGCAATCTGACCAATCTAATATGGCAAAAGCAACTGAAGACAGTGAGTGTCAAATTCCATCCTTAATACATTTTAAGAAAAAATACTGTGAGGGTAAGCTCATGTTTGACCTCTCTCAAAATGATATTTTGTCTCTCAATGAAAGAGTATTTATTGGCATGGAAAATGCTGTTTGTTTAGACCTTTCTTACAACTACATGAGTCAGACATTGAAAGGTGGGCAATTCAAGAACATGAAAAATTTAGTCTATCTTAACATGTCCTTCAATCGGCTGGATCTCTATCATGATGATGCTTTCAGAGAACTTCAATCCACACTGAAGGTATTAGATGTCAGTAACAATGACTTTCACTTCAAGATGAGAGGCATGGGCCATCGTTTTGAGTTTCTTCGAAATCTGTCTAACCTGGAATTGCTGAGTCTAGCTAACAATGGCATTGGGATGCGCATAGATCAAAGGCTGATCAGCAGTTCATTGCAGTACCTCTACTTTAATGGTAATCATCTGGACATCATGTGGAATGCAGGCTACAACACATACAGTCAGTTTTTTAAGAACCTAACAAAGCTAAAATTCTTGGATATTTCCAACAATAACCTGTTTTCCATCACAGCAGATTTGCTTAGTAGCCTTCCGGAAAGCCTCCAGAGCCTCAGCCTCAGCAGCAACTCCCTGAAGAGTTTTCCCTGGCAAAACATTTCAGTTCTGAGCAATTTGTGTCACCTAAACCTAAGCCACAACTTACTGAATAATTTGATTCAGCAGGAAATACAATTTGGAGCCAATTTTTCCTCTCTGGACCTAAGTTACAATCATCTCACCTCAATTCCTGAGAATTTCTTCAAAGAAGCAAAGTCTTTGCAGCATTTATATCTCAGTAACAATAAGATTAAAGAGTTAAACCATCAGCATCTCCCTGCGCCCTTTCATAATGGCAGTGCCCTTCAGACACTTACCCTGGCTGAGAACCCATTTGAATGTGACTGCAATACTTCATGGTTTGCTGAATACCTACGGACTACTCCAGTAAACATTCCTCATCTGACAACACAAGTGCGCTGTGGATATCCATTATCTCAACAAGGAGTGGTTCTCCTGTCTATAGATCAACATTCCTGCCAGGACATATATGGTAGCTTAGCCTTCCTCATCTCCTCTTTTTTGGCTTTGTCTTTTACTGCTCTACCACTGCTGAAGCATCTCTACGGCTGGGATGTATGGTACTGCTTACAGGTGCTCTGGGCAGGACTCAAAGGCTACTCTCAGCTGTCTGGTGGGGATAAAGGGAATCACTATGATGCTTTTGTGGTGTTTGACACCAAGAATCCTTCCGTGAGGGACTGGGTTTACAATGAGCTCACTGTTAATTTGGAATCCTCTGGCCACAGAAGATTTTCTCTCTGCTTGGAAGAGAGGGACTGGATACCTGGACTTTCATGCATTGATAATCTACACAGTGCTGTTCACAGCAGTGTGAAGACTGTGTTTGTACTGTCCAGAACTCCAAATGGAACTGAGATGGTCAACGGTGTGATACGACAGGCTTTCTTCATGGTTCAGCAGAGACTACTGGATGAAAAGGTGTTTTTTTTTTCCCTCTCTTTTTTGATGCTGTGGATATTTTCATCTTTTCGCAACCCTAAATTATTTGCAAAACTTTCCATTTCAGGTTGATGCAGCTGTGCTTGTTCTGTTGGATGAAATGTTTCCGAAACTGAAGTACCTTCAACTGAGAAAAAGACTGTGCAGGAAGTCCGTGTTGTCCTGGCCGAGAAACCCAAGAGCTCAACCCCTCTTCTGGAATCAAATGAGAATGGCATTGTCATCAGACAACCTGAAATTTTATGATAATAACATGAGTGAAAGTTTTATATAATTATTTGTTAACTGAATACTTAGTCTTTTTGAAATACTTAGTCCCTTATTGACATTTTTGCTTTGCTTTTCTTGTCTAGTCACACCTATGTTTTACATCATCAAATTTAACTTATTATCAGACAAAGATACCCTGTGTAACTACAAAATATATATAAAAAAAAATGTTGTAACATAAACATGTGATCAAGACCAGCCTGGCATGGTATGGAAAAATAATTGCTCTTTGATTTTTGTTTAAATTGTTTGTTACAGCCTTGGCAGCACCCGCTGTCATCAAGTATTTACAATAACTTATAGCACTTTAAATCTATGTGGAGGGATATTATACATTTTCTTTTTAGAATTGTTTAAATCAGAGGTATTGGATATTTTAAAGAATAAATGTAACGTTTAGGTTTGATACAGTTTAATGATTAGATTTAAACATTTTCATTGCCTGTTTTAGCAACTACACAATTCACAATGTGTTACTTTTCAAAAGAAAAATGGTGTTTAAATAAAATCATCAGTGAATTAACCCTTGTTCAAAAACATGTTGAGACTTTGTGCTTCCAAATTCTGTACTAGAAAGTGCATTGTATGGTTCTGTCAATTAAACATTCCCTACATATTTGACTAGTTTGATAGTATGTGATCACTTTTATGTAATGTAAATCCCTTTATTGCCCCACAGTGATGAAATTTACTCTCTGCATTTTGACCCATCCCCTTGGGGAGCAGTGAGCTGCCATTGTGCGGCACCCGAGGAGCAGTGTGAGGTTAAAGGTCTTGCTCAGAACCTCAGAGTGCAGGCTGTGGGGATCAAACCGGATACTTGCAACCTTCTCCGAGCACAAGCGCACTGCGCCAACCAATGGGCAACACTCCCCCTTTTTCTGAACCTTTTTTTTTAAACTATGTGCATGTATTAAACCACATAGATTGGGATTTTTTCCTGATGTCATATAAATCATTGTAAGGTTTTTGCCAAGAAGCATATTTTTTTTCCACTTATCAAATATTGGATTTTATAATCACTCATTATTTACTTGTCATATAAAATTTATATATGGTGTGACAAAAAAATTAGGAAAAAAAATAATAGAGGAAATATAAGATTGTATTGTAGAATTCACACATTTCAATTTGTTCCTGCTTTAAAGACTCAGTTTTATTAATGGTATTAAACTCCTTTTTCTAATCTGTGTGTATGTTTAGAAGATAACTTCTATGTTCCTTGATACGGTTATTGGTTGTCATGGTAGACTGAAGACAGGTGTGATAGCCTGGCTTAGGTAATTCATTGATTGATAAAACTACACTGTTATACACAATATGTAATCACCTGGGTCACTGTTCTAGTTAATATTATTTGCACTAATATGTCAAAATATCACTATTAATGTTAAATCTCGTTCTGATTCATAAAAAAAAAATATATATATATATATATATATATATATATATATATATATATATATATATATATATATATATATATGGTTTTCGGCTTTCATTTTTACAGGGTTATGTTTAATCTTATGGAGCAGGATTTGAACAGCATATTACACTTAGTATAGTGGAGACAATTACATTTCATTATGGTACAATTATAAAAAAGTCACACTGTCTTTCCTGATTTCATAAATATTAAAAGAGTATAGTTTTGTGGTATTCCTGCGTAACACCCACACCTCTCTGATAGTTTCACTTCTCATTAATAGTGAGGAAATGAAAAGCCTAAATATTTTGTAACAGAGATCAAAAACCAAAATCCCCATTAGCCAAATAAAGCAAAAGTCAAACTCTTTCCAAGTTAAAAGGTAAATAAACGCAACTGATATGAAAATATATGTGTCTATTAAAATAAAAACGTGTTGCAGAAAAACTAGTAATGAATGACTGATGATGTAACTTAAATAAGTATTCTACAAAAGACATAACCCTCCCTAATTTTAGTGAGAACTGTACCAGCATTGTGTTTTATAAAATATTAAAATAGAAGAGCAACAGTCAGTGAGATTTCTCCCCAATGACGTCCACTAACTCCACTTACCTTTTCGTCTCATGATCTGCCTACAGGAAATCTTTTCTGAGAGTGAAACTCCTGGCTATAAATTGTTATTCTCACACATTTTCTGCTAAATGAACAGCAGTGAACACAACAGGTGCACTGTACTTAAAGTCTTTATATGTTTAAATAATCTGCCTTAATTTAGTTCAAATACTATATATAGTATATATACAAACAATTTAATTTAAGACTGTTAAATAGGTGAAGAAATCCTTTATGCACACCCTTAAGCTGGCACAGCACTATGTTGAATAAGCTATGCACTGTATTTTAGAATTCCTTCTCCCCTTTTAAGAACAATCAGTATCCTATATCTTGACTGTTGACCGCACTACTTTGCCAGATTTCTGAAAGTTGGCTTGTAAGACAATATTTTGTCCACGACCTTCAGATATGACCCCACTCATCTGGTTAGATTAAGTTAAAGATTATGTCATCTCAAAGCTTTATTTACTTTTTTTTTTTATCTTTTTGCTCAGATTCACTCTGATGCTGAAAAACATAATTACTTCAATCTTCAACTTTAAATAAAAAAACTGCAGATACCGTTTGCCATAAATATAAAAACATTAAGGCTTAAATTTAGTTAAAAGACCTTAAGGCTCATTTTCACCATTCAGTCTACTTATGTTCAACATTCAGCTGCTTTGGTGGGATTTTCCTCACAGTATGTTCATTAGCAGCTTTTTGCTAAGGTCATACGTATAGTCATGTTACAAAGGTTTAAAAGTATGACAGTATTTAAAGGTATTATTTCAACTGTTGCGTTAATCAGCTGCCACATATGAATCAAGATGCTATGACCGAAAAATTTGATTGACAGATGACGTTAATATATGATTGGCCGAATTTAGGTGTACAGGCTGATGTTTAACTAACTGACCTGCATAAGATCACAAAAAAACACAACACAGATTTTAAGACAGGATTTCTTTTTAAATAGAAATTTTCAAAATTTTGGTCTGATAAAGAGTAAATTTATATACATGTTTAAGCCAGAATGATTTGACATTTAAATATGACTTCCCTACGACTTTACTGATAATTGTCAGGATTTTGTTGAGGTTTGTGGACCCAAACGCAGAGGCAGGGAGGCAGAGGTGAGTTTCTTGTGGATTTAATGAAGAGTTAACAAACAACTGAGGCAGGAATCAAAAAATCTAATATGAAAACAAAGTCAAACAAACCAGAAACCAAGGAGACATCTGGGGGAAAACAATCACGAGGAGGAAGACTCAGAGAGACGGAGTTGGAGGAAGTTAGACGAGGAACCAGCGCTGAAGAACTGCACAGAGTGAGTATTTATGGGAGATTGAAACAAAGAGCGGTCTACGGAGCAGATTGGGAGCAGGTGTGAACAGAGCAGAACAAGAAAGGAGCTAGGGAAAAAGGTAAACACAAGAGGGCAGCAGAGAACCTGGAAACTGAAAATAACCAGAAAACAGAACAAAATAAGAATCAAACCACTAAAACTAGAAAACATGGAGCAAAGTCAAACTGAATACTCAAAATAAAACATAACAGAACCAGAACTGTGACAGGAACTAAAAAATAACCAGAAAACACAACAAAATAATAATAAAACCACTAAAACTAGAAAACATAGAGCAAAGCAAAACTGAATACTCAAAAGAAAACATAACAGAACCAAGACTGTGAGAGTAGTTCAGACATTTTATAAAATAGGACACTGGTTTTGATTTATTTGTAGATACCTGAGGCAAGCCATACTTTAATTATGAGAAATTTGTTTGTTATTTTTCTAGCAATTAATTCAGATTACTGTCAAGTAAAAATAACTTACAAATCTCAAGTTGGCTCAACTTTGATCCATAAAATTATGCATTTGTTGACTCAGCAGCACAGTAGAAATAATTCTTAGTAGTCATAATTTAGTAAATATTACATCTAATTTAGGTTATTAAGTAAATACCACTTGATTATCTTCATTGCTTTACTCATGTATTAGAACGAATAAAAAGCAATTATTAAAAGTTACTTAAAAGTTCCCTGTGCCTATTTTTTGCATGCATTTTTAAAGTAATGCTAACTAATTGTATTTTATAGTGTATTTTATATTCTGTTAGATTATACTGCTGGAATCAAACAGATGTTGTGACCTGCCATATTTAAATGCTATTCTGAAACAGATTTATTGTTTCATAAATATTATACATATATTTTCCGTCATATTAATGCATTAATGAGTGTGAAGTTAAATCGTCCAATCATTGCCAGCTCGTGCTGCCCCACCACATCCATCGCTCGCGCACGCGCCAGCTGGGTTTGCACAACCACGCGGTCCCGCTCGTAGGACAGGTCACAGCTGAGCCGATGAGATCATGGAGGCTGAGGTCGGACGGGATACGGCCAACAGGACTGCTCGGTGATGGAGAGCTGCCTGTCCGGTAAGATGGAGCCGTGCGTTCAGTGCGCTCCTGGACTTCTTTTTGTTTTTAAAGGTGGGACCGTTAATACGATGCTTTAATAGAAAAATTGAATTGAATGCGGTCAGTTTGCTTGACAGATTATTTCTTATGTAAGATAGAAGCTCGGACTCGTGCGGCCACATATCTGTGCAACAATCTAATCCTTTATGCCGGGGTCGTAGTAGAATGATTGTGGCGTCTGTGTCGGTGTTTGTCAAAGGCAGGGTCACTGCTCCACTTATATGCGCTTCTTGTTCATTTATGCAGCTTTAAACTGCGTTAAACTGCTCATTAAAACTCATTGGTGATAATAATATTCAAAGGAAATTGTCATTCCTTTAAACTCTGTTTTTGCAGTGAGCGCGCTGACTCTCCGCAGCAACAGCTGGTTGTCTCCTAACTCAGCTGCAGGCACTTGTGAACTGATTTAATAAGATTTAAAATTCACCACTTTTGTGGTCGTATTTTTCCCGTTTGGAGATGTTATATATATATATATATATATATATATCTATATATATAGCCTCACAGCTGCATAAACCTATCTAATCACCATATGAACGATACACGTCTAAAATCTCCATTTTAGTATGTTTGGTAAAGTAATAGAGCTACAGGAATGAGCTCTAAACTATAGGTGCTTCTCTCTTTTTTTTTATAATTCATATTTAAATTTTATTTCTGCATTGTCTGACAATGAAATCTGCACTCTTGCTGTCTAAAGGCCCACCTTAAGGTTGCTGGTTCCATTGTATGCAGGACACTCTGTCTATTGTCCCAGGCCATAATAAATAAGGGATTGACTGGCAGGTTATGATTGACAGGCAGAGCAAACCAGTCTCTCAGTTGCATCCTGTTCAGGGATTCCCAGCACCCAATCCTCTTAGATCAGAGGAGGGATTATGAATTGGATTTGCCTCTGCTTTATAGTCAGTTCTCAATGTCTGCTCTCCCAACAAACTGGGTTAGCTTTCTTTAAATGCCCCTAGGCTATTTTTTTTTCTGTTGTTAGAATTATCTGGCTTTTTAAAGCATCAAACCCAACAAGCCTCTATGTTACCACCAAATATTATACCGACACAGACAGTGATAAGATATTTTTATTGTATGCGGATTTAATCAAATAGGAACACACTTGGCCTAAATCCTATTTTATGTCTCCTGCATTTAGCTAATGCCAGAATATAACTCCATTTAAAGTTTGACTTTGAATTTGCAATTGGCCCAGAGGGATGGGAGCTAATGGAAAGTGGTCCTTCAATTCTCTTTGCAGTCTCCGGAGGCCATAGCATTGTGCACAATATTATCTCTTTTGGTCAGACTTCTGCTGACACAAAAGTCCAGGTCCTCTTCAATAATCTCACTTATTGCTTTCTGTGTTGCTAAAATAGTCAAACACATACACATCCATTCTGTTTTTTGCTATTGGACATTGAGCCGGGGATACATATGCAATAAGGTAGCATTTAAGAGTAGTTTATTGTTTTCTGTATTCTGCCTCTGATTTTGATATTCTGTTCCCCCAGCTTGTATATATTGGGAATAGAGAGTCTAATGAGGTACTACGCTTGAGGTTGTCAAGTAGAATGGACAACTTTAATCCTCTTTTTAAATGAATTATTGAAGCATAAGCTGAAAATTGATATTGATATGTTAGTTTTATCATTTTTAATCTCCTATTTTCTTCGCATTTCTCTGTATGTCTGTATTGTCTGTATGTCTGTCTTGCGTTTTGCTGCCTAGAATTCACGATGTCCTACAGTATAGCTGAAAATACAAGACATCCTGCCAATGTTTCTAGGAGCCCCACTGCCAACAGTCTCCACTTCTTTCTTCGAAGAAGACTAAATCCAGCTCAGTCTCTACACAGTCGGATATGGACTAGTGAAAAGTTTTGGCCATTAAGTGCTCTTTATTATTCCTGTTGCTTGTTCTTATTCCATCAACTATTTCCTTCCAGATTTTATATTTTACAATAAAATTATGCCTTTAAACATAAGAGCCAAGCCCTCACACAGCAAGCTGACTGCTGCTGCAAAGAGTAGTGGGCACAACGATGGCAGCACATCTCAATCACGCTTTCAGAGGTCTGCAAAACAAGGAAAAGGCAAACAGGCTGTCACATCAGGTCCTGGGTACCGCTCAGGACTTGAGCCTGGCTCTGTGTCAAGCGGTGGGCCTCCACCGGCAGCTAAACTGACCGGGGCACAAGGTGCAGCTTCAAAGCCGGGTTCGAGAATCAAAATCAGTACATCAGCAGCAGAAAAAGGCTCAGCTCGTGGTTCAGCAACAGCTCCGGGGGGTAAAACCCTGTCCATGGAGAACATCCAGTCCCTAAGTGCTGCATATGCCACTTCTGGAACCATGTATCCCAGTGAGCGGGAGTCCTTGGAACCTTCCGGTGGGTACCCAAAAGGCACCATGACGTTAGGCCGGAGTACCAAACGCTCATCTTACAGCAGTCGCACAATAGGTAGTGGAAGCACCCCAAACATCACAGCCTCTGGTATGCATCACATATCAGACTCATGTGGAGACCAAACTGTAGTTTGCACAGGAACTTCCAGTTTGCGCCGGCAGTCAGGAAGATGCACCCAAACAGTGGATTCAGCTGATCGAGGAGATGCTTCCACTTACGATCTCCAGGCTATGCTGAGGGATCTGCAGAGGGAAAATGAAAGTCTCCGGAGAGAATTGGACGGAGGAAGGGATGGAAAGACAGGCTATGGCACGAATAGTGTTAATTTCTGGAGCCCGGATGTTAAGAGAGACAAGGGGAGTAGGCGTGAAGAGGGAGTAAGGACACCAGCTCTGAGGGAGCCATGCAGGGTGAACCAAGAAGATATACAGGTGAGAAAGTAAACAACCACAGTACCTTGAAGAAGTACTGATCCATCTTTAACTTTTACACATTTTGTCACATTACAACTTTAAACTTCAATGTGTTTTATTGGGATTGTTGGTTTTAAATCAACATGTAATACATCATTTTGCCTTCCTAAGTTAAATATTACACACAATCAGTGGCTTGTTACAGAATATAATGAAACAAACAGCATCATGGAGACCATAGAAACATAACACAATTTGGGAATTAATCTTTGAACATTTCATTGAGCACCTTTCAATGTATCATATAAAAATAAAATGATTATGGCAGAACTATAGACCTACCAAGATATTGCAATCCATATAAAATAACAGACTGGAAAAGGAGATAAGTGGACATTAATAAGACAACGTGCTAAAATATAATTCTGGAGAAGTAATAGAAATCCAATACTTAGGACAGAGAATCTGTCAAACAAGACAGGCGTTAGCTGAGTAGCTTACATAGGTACCCTTTATGGAAGAAAGGCAGGAATAAAGCCAATACTGTAGACATAGAAAGATTAAGGAGTGGCCCTGCTCTGATCAGACAAAAACCCAACATTTTATTTAGAAACACACATGTTGAGGACATAATGCTGTTTGGGATGATTTTTTTTTTGGAAGCAATTGATGGAAAATGAATGGAGCTCAATTGAGGGTTGCCTTTAAAGATATTTGATGTTTCTCAATACCTAAAGCTGCAGCACGGTTTAACCTTACAACAAGACCCTCAACATTATTAGAAGGATAAGGAATGGAGGGGGAAGGATCAAAACATAAATGTATTTACACAGCAAAAAAACAAAACATGAACACGTGTGAAATGGTCAAAAACTAATCTGAATTATTAGAGAAATACCAATTGGGATTTTCTTTGCCAATATTTTCTGGAGTTCTGCTTTTGTGTACAAATTATTCCTCATAAAATCAAATTTTGTCCTCCAAGTCCTTTTACAGGCAAATTAGTTTGGAGTCTTAAAGAAAATAGAGGAATTGAATAATTATCCCAATGAATCTAATAAAGCCGATGGAAGTAACTTTGCATAAAATGCATACATTTTGACAGAAGTGTTAGCTTATTTTTTAGATATTGTTTGGTATAGCTAAATACAGTTCTATATATTATAAAAGTTATGTGTTAAAAAAAAATCACTTCATCATCCAACACACCACTGTGGGCCCCTTAGTGTTGGTCTGACCCAAAATATTCTAAACATGTAACATTAAACATGTACGATTGTGATTGTAATCTGACAGAATGTGAAAAGGTTTCTTTAGTGAATTAATTCATGAGTCAAACGTTTTGTGTTCATCTCAGAAAAATCCTTCCTCTGTCAACATTCTATTCGTTCTCATCTTCAAGGTTACACTGAAAAAGCTTTGGTGTTGTTCAGATGTAACGTTTGCCATCCTGCCTTCATGTGTTTCCATGGGAACTTGCTCCTAATGGCATCCAATCAAGATGTTCTTATTGGGCTCACAGCTTTTGCTGAGGCGAGGGTGACCAGGCTGTCCTGTGCTGTCTCTCCCCCGGAGTCTGAGGTGTCATCCATCTGTCTGCCACACCCAGTGCTTGGCCGCTGTCTAGTGTCTCTTCTTTGTTTATCCTCTCTCTCTGTTTTTTATATTTTTGCCCTTCCATTTATCTCTTTATCAGACATTTTACATCTTGGTGTGTCAGTGTTTGCCTGTGGCTATTTTCAAAGGATATTCTATATGCTAATGTTATTCAGACAAAAAAAAGTTTATTTAGGGCTCACAAAGTACACAGGCTGGGTTTTTGTTGCCCTATATTTGCAAAAAAAAAATAAAAAAAAATGCTGTTTTATCCAAGGAGACTCTGTGTTTGCATTTATAAGTTTTAAATTTCACTTACCGGTAGTCATAAAGGTGCGTGGATTTAGTGATTGTACACAGATTCGCAACACACAAATTCAGCGATTTCTAAAAGGAGAAGAGACTTGGTTAGAAACCAATGCATGCAGCAGGGTGTTGCTTTCAAATAGATGTTTATAAAAAGTGCTGCTTAACAGTTTTAGGCTTCTCCAGAAATATGTTGAGTTGACATGTCCTTGATTGCACCCTTGCATTTAAATTAGCTCAATCTGTTTAGACCATGTGAAAAAGGTCATTTACAACTACAGTATCTATCTCATACAGTATAAATCCATTCAGTCAGTTTGATTTTCCAACTGATTTATAGTTTGCTGTTTTACTTTAATTTATGTAGTTTGCAGTGGCAGCATTGAAAGAAATGTTAAAAGCAAACTGTGCTCATTATATTTAACATTTAACCACCTCTTGCTTTCTATCTCTGCTATTGTCTGTCTTTCATACACACCCGCCAACAGCTGCTCAATTTTCTTCCCAATATTGATTAGACTGCTCATTAAAGAGCAGCCATGTGAACCTGTTTCCTCAGGTCTAAACTGACATTCTACCAGCGTTTCCAACTCTAAAAAGAAAGGTCACCTCTATCGTCTCCCTTACCTCCAATTTAGTTTATCGTTTTCTTTCCAATTTTTCTTTTCCATTTCTCACCGGGCTCATTTGTTTTAAATTTCCTATCTTTTTGTTAGTCTCTGGTGAGTCAGATCAGATTATTACAGTTCAATCTAAGGAATGTCACCTTTTTTCTTTATCTGCTTTTCTTTGACCTTCATCCATCTGACCATTTTTGTTTGTTTGGTGTGCATGTTGGTTTGATGTGTGCATGTGTATGTGTTCACATAAGTATTTTTGTACTTGTGGTACAGTCTAAGTTGTGTGTGCTTTTGAGGAGGACTGTCCTCCCACTCTAATTTAATATTCAGCGCGAGATGTTGCATTGATTATCCATAAACTCCCTCGCTCTTCCACATCTCCACTCTGTCCTTGGCACTCCCCACCTTCTGGACAGGAGCAGAGAAATTAGAGAGTTAGCATGAAAAGCAAGTAAAGGCTCCCCACAAATAATTACTATCAGGGGCAGTATATTAGAGTTTTATTCTAATCAGTTAAAAATAAATAGTTAATTGCTCAAATGAAACTAATTACAGATGTCTGTTGTGATGGCCGTTTAAAAAATAAACATCAGATGGGTCTGAAAATTTACATGATCTGAAACATATGCAGATTCCATACAATTTGTGTTATTTTTGCCACTCGTTAATAGTTCAGATCACTAAAAGAAGTTGTCAATAAAATGAGGATATTAATGAGGATTTCATGTATCAAGCAAAAAAAAAAGTCCTTTTCCTCTGAAAGCACTGGAGTTTAAAGCCCCAGGGTTAGTTTTACCCAAGTCAAAGGGATACTGGGGAATTTGTCAGCCTGCTGTTTTCATTACTCTAAAACATTAATTTAACCCTTTAAAGCCAAATGTATCATATTTGGTCAATGAGTTTTTGAGACATTTGTATCATAAGTGGGATATTTTTTTGAAAACCCTGACTTACACAATCAGACATATGTAGTGAACAGATTATCTTTAGAGATTAAACAGAAATGCCGAATTTATAAATACATTGATGAAAATAGGTGATCTAATTTAAGTTTTACAAAAAATTATGTTTTTTTTTCTTCTTTCGTTTGTGCAAAAATTCAATGAAAAGATTTTTTAATGTATTATTTCATGGTCCAGGCTTTAAAAATGGATAGAGTAGCCTTGTTCTCTCAGTGCACACTCATACTTGAAAAGTTTTTTGGACCTTTTTTTAAAAAATCTTAAATAGAGTTGTCATTGGTATCTGATTAGCTGGATGCCGGTCGCTTCTTAGTATCCACAAAATCATGTGGAACATTATGCTTCACTTAGACCCGTTTAACTTGGACTCGCTTGATGTCACATCTGCAGAAACAGAGCAGGAACTTCCGACCCAAAGTACATTCAGGGAAAATAGGCTACAGTCTTATAGATGCATTAGCATTGAACTACGTAGGTGTCAGTCTGCTCAGTAAACATTGTTTTGGTCATAAAGGGTCTAATATTTTGTAAAGATATTTTCAGTAAAAACAAAATGTCTCTTTAAGGTTAACTGGACTCTACAAGCAGAAAAATTATTAGATAATAATTTTACATTTTTTAATTTTTTTTATTAATATGCATTTGACTAGAATTTTTGCTTTATAACTGCGTGATTCATTTACAGTTACTACTATAAACCAATTAACACAATTATTTGTATTTTATTATAACACTAAAAACTAAATCTCTTATCAGATACCAACAGTGGGCAGCACAGTGGCACCCTTTGTAGTACAGTTGCCTTGCAGCGAGAGGTTCTCTCCAAATGAACATAATGTAAATTAGGAGGAGAAAGGGGAGAAGTTTACACTGAAGCAGGATGAAACAGTGATAAACTAAGTGTAAATTGGGGATTAACCTATGGATATGAACATAGATCATGCTAGAACTGGGAAAAACACCAGTAACACAAATGTAGCACATGGTTAAGGTTTCCATTACACAAACAAAAACATACACAGATGTCTGCATTCGCATGTGTTACACACAGGGTGTAGTGATACTTTATTTGTTTGGCCGCACTTATACATCCTGTTACACAAAGCATTGTGGGATTCCTTACAGCTCTATAGAGCCTCTTAGGGACATTGCATGCTCCCTGCTGAACTGATAGTATAGCCTAGAAGAACAAGAAGAAGAAGAAACCTATGACCTTTTTTTTTCCTGCCAGCTATTTTTTGGACAGCAGTATCATGTGACTGCTGATGCACACCCATTAAGCTAAACATTCCTTATCAGTTTCATGTATTAAGATTTAGCCCCAGGCTTTTGAGGGGCAAAATGGCCAAAAGAATTACTTTCCAAAACCAAATAACTTTCTGCTACTTTGACAGCAAAAACTACTGGTACTGATTCTCCTAAGCTTCTGTGGAGATATTTGGTCCAATCTGCTTTGCACAATTATTTGAATTTGGTCATAATGGAGGGATTTCATGGCTTCTTTGAGGTCATGCCACTGCATCTCAATTGGATT